ATGCTGTACTAGACAGCCTCGATGATGAGCAGATCTTGCCAGTCAATGTTGAGCATGTGTTGCCTAGTGATGGTCAAAATGTGACTGTCTCTGGATATGATCCAACTCAGTCTGAGGCGACTCCTACAGAGAGCACCAGCATTTCCATTTCAGAATGTCATAGTCACTGATGTCAATGGTAATGCTCCTTCCAATGAATTACGGGCAGCAGCATTGAGACATGTGAAAAAGAAGGGAGGTAGTTATATTGAAATTCCTCATGACCCTCAGCCAGTAAATGAGTTTTTCAACCCGAGTTTGTTCCCAATGATGTATCCAACACTATTTCCGTACGGTATTGGTGGTTTTGAGGACAAGCGACGTTCAACTCCACTGTCACTTGAAAAGCATGTGAAGCATTTGTTCAACCTTGCTGACAGGCGGTTTCAGGAGCACTATTCATTCTTATTTTCAGTATTTAACATTATACAGCGCAGGAAGGTACTGTTGCATTCCAGTCTGAAAGTGAAGCATTCAAATTTTGACAGTGTTGCAGCAAAATTTGCCTCAGTGTCACCTGAAGCAGTACACCGTGTCACAGAGCGCATTTCTCGAGGTGACTATGCTACTGCTCATGATGAGGAAGAAAGACAAGTTCTACAGCTCATGAAAGAGGTCAGAGTAGTCACATCTCATGTCCCAGGATCCTCCACAGCCCGTACCATGATGCGAAATGAAATAAGAGCATTGATGATGCAGCTGGGACTTCCAAGCTTTTATTTAACTATCAATCCTGCTGATGTTTACAATCCTGTTGTCAAGTTCCTAGCAGGTTCCGAGATTGATGTTGACCACTTGCTACCAGAACAAGTTCCAAATTACTGGGAACAAGCTATCTTAATTGCAAAGAACCCCGCGATTGCAGCAAAGTTCTTTAACATCTACATGAAGGCATTCATTTCTGCTGTCCTTGGATATGATAACACTAGGACCAATCTGGATGGTGGTATTCTCGGAATAGTGAAAGGCTACTATGGGTGTGTGGAAGCTCAAGGTCGAGGAACATTACACTGTCACATGTTAGTCTGGGTGGAAGGTGGACTTAACCCCAATGAAATCAGAGACAGGATTATAAAAGACAATGACACTGATTTCAAAGACCGCCTGCTTCAATTTCTTGATGATACTATCTCAAACAGTATACCACCTGATCCTGATCCAAATTATCATGTTCCATCATCGACACACCATCCATGCTCTGTGCGAGGTGTCAGTTTCAACCTACCAGATGATGAGTTGTCAAAGGCCCGTCAAAAGGACATGCATCATCTCGTGAGGCAATGTCAACTCCATACACACCAGGCCACATGTTATAAATATTGGAGAGGACCACCAGAACCGAAAGAGTGCCGTTTTAATCTTGATGTCGAGAACTACAGAGAGGAAAGTAGTGTAGACCATGAAACAGGAGAGATTAATCTGCGTTGCTTAGATGGACTTGTCAACAATTTCAATGCAACAATACTGGAAGCGATTCGTTGCAACATGGATATAAAGTTTATAGGCTCGGGATCTTCAGCAAAGGCTGTCTTGTACTACATTACAGACTACATCACAAAGAGCCAACTGAAGACCCACGTTGCTTTTGCCACACTTGAGCTAGCTGTCAAAAAATTGAATGATGTGAACCCCGCAGATGACAGTGCCACTGTACGGGCAAAGCGCCTATTGCAGAAATGTGCTCATGCGATGATATCTCATCAGGAACTATCGGCTCCACAAGTGTGTTCCTATCTCATGGGTTTTCAAGACCACTTCACCAGCCATGAATATGAGAACCTGTACTGGACAAGCTTTGAAGCATTTGTAAACAAACAGGATCCTAGCCCTGAGTGTTATCAAGCTGAATCTGACACAATGCAGGGATCAAACAACACCTCATCACTTGCTCGTGAACATACCAGTGCTGAAGAGATTGACTATGATAGCATGGATGATTTCTCAAATACAGTTGAACCCACAGAACAAGATGAAGTAACCATCAGTGTAAACAGAAATGGAGAAATCATACCTAAGGCTACTCAAGTACAGGACTACGTTCTGCGAGGAAGACTGTTTGATAATGTTTGCCTATGGGATGCTGTTGCACAACTGCAAAAAACCAAGCTCGTCCGAAAGCAGAAACACATGGGTAATGGTGGAAGTTGTTCACTGTCCGTCAGTGATGTCACGGAAGAAGCCCTTGAAGATGATGATGATGATGACTCACCAGAAGTACGACAATCGGATGTTGAGACTACCATGTCTAACTTGGATGACCATGTCACAGATTATAGAGTCAAACATCATGAGAAAGACCCTCTGACCTCAGAGATGGTGGAAGCAGCCCTTACAACAGCATGCCACAAGCAGCCATCTGATACCTTCTTTACCACCCACATGCAGCACAGTACTCACATGCTGAAGCTGCGGAGGCCTAGCGCTAGACGGGTGCCTGTCCCTATTGGACCTAGTATTCCACGACGAGATCGTCCCCATCTGCAGCCTCGACATAGTCGGCTTATGCTCATCTTATTCAAGCCGTGGCGTTCAGCAAGTGACTTGCGTAAACCTCACCAGTCATGGAAGGATGCATTCGATGAATTCCTAGAAACATGTCCAATTAGGCTGAGGAAGGTCATGGATAACATGCAGATCCTGCACGAATGCAAAGACAGCCGTGATGACCACTTTGCTAACCGACGTTCTCATGCACGTAAGTCCCGGATATCCCAAGAGTTGATGAACGCACCACACGCAGAAGACGATTTCATAGGAGAAACAGATGAAGCTGACATCCTTGAGCATCTGGAGTCTATTGAGTCATCTACATCCTTCCATGCAACGCAGTCAATGTCCAGCGTACATGACTGTTTGAAGCATGTCGAAGAAACACACCTGTTTGAGTCAAACATCGCTGGCCAGCGCT